TTTTTTTTATGCAACTTAGAATGGCAAACAAGCTGACGGCCCACCTGTTGAAAAGTGGTAACCGTCGCCTATAAACATGAGCAGTACCATGGACTAATAGAGTATACTGTTTCGCTCATGATACCCGCCATACGTTGCCATTCCTAATGACTTAGGTGTTATTCCTTTGTATCCTGTAAATTCACTGCCATATCCCACCCTTTAAACCGAAACGCAGCCATTCAAACACAACTGTTTCACAGTAGAAACACGAATGGGACAGAGGTGCCCAAGCAAACGACTTTTGTACAGTCTCCCTCTGGTCTCGTGTTTCAATATTAATAATACACAGGATACTTTATATATTGATTTACGTGAGCAAAGTCGTTGAAAACAGCTAGTAACGAATAGATAACAAACTGTATATGTACGAATCGAAATAAAAACATTGAGAGCAAATAACAACTTTAACGACCGTACAATATTAAACCTTCTGGTTTAAAAAATTGCCCACACGTACTTTAATAACCGGGCAATCACATTGAGGGCAACTGTGGTTTATTACTGTCGGTTATTAATTCACAGTACTTCAGTCATCCAACGTTTTAGTAGCAAAGTTTGAAATAAAAATTATTACGGTTTTTTTTAATAGATGATAGTGGAATGGTAACCCCACCCGCGCTATCGGTGTACACCGGCGGGGCACCAGTGAAGGATGATAGGTAAGGATGAAGCAGGTCAGTGTCATCGTGACCAATTCAGCAAGAATTGTTCACGATGGTTTCCAGGGGGAACTACGTGGAGGTCGACCTAATAGGGCATATTGCTGGCAATGGGGCTGTCAAACTCCATTGCTAACAATCCCTTTCCCCCCAATTATTACGCAGTTATTACTAAAAGTTCTACCCATAGATAATACTCCTTTGTAGATTAACTTAATGACAGGTCTATATAAGTGATCTCTGTGATAAATGATGATCACATTTTATTAGCCTTAAACTATAAGTACAGTAAATGCAACATAGAATAACAAACAAGCTAATAAACGCTCAAAATTTTTAGTAGTTTTTCGATATATATTTTTTTAAGGAATTTTTTCTTGAATAATTTTTATTTCTGCCTGTGAGTAATGTTTTTGCAAGGGTACAGAAAACATTAAAATATGTAGAGAGAACACTAACGTAAAGAGGTATGCCCATGGTATACAAACAAGAAGGCTGTGCTCGTGTACAATATACCAGTTCGCCACATAAAGACTCCTATGTTCAAAACTACAGTATACATTCCATCATTTCAGCCATTAACTAGTTCACTGCCGAACATAACAGAAAAGGAGTCGCCACACTTGACGGGCGGGTTTTTTTTTGATGGGTGAAAATGGTATGGTAACCCCGCCTGCGCTAACGGGATACGCTAGTGGAGCACCAGTGAAGGGTGATAGATGAGAATTAAAACAGGCCAGTTAGCCCATCATGATGAATTCATCAGGAATTAACCACGATAATTTCCATGGGGAACCGCGAGGAGGTCGACCTGGTTGGGTATATTGCTAGCAATGGGATTCTCAGTCTCCATTACTAACAATCCCTTTCTCCCTTGACAGGCGGGTTAGCAACCGCAGTTTAGCTTTTAGAGATGTTTTTAAAGGGACGCTGCTGCCCATCTCTTTACCATTAGTCGTCTCTTACAACACCGACAGGAAATGAAGGGGTGGCTAATTCTATGCCGAGACCACGCGGCCATACATATATAGCATTATAGTTTATTAATTCTACATAAGCTGCAGCATAGAAAAAAAAACTGATCTGTAGAAGAATACAACAGATAGACAACATACCTGACGTTAAGATATATCTATAAATATTATCAGAATGTGAAAATCATGCATCAATCAATTCCTAATTTACCAGTGGGAGACTATACAAAAATCGTTTGCTTGGGCACCTCTCCATTCGTGCTTCTACCGTGAAACAGTTGTGATTGCATCGCTGTGTTTCGGTTTGGGATATGGCAGTGAATTTACAAGGTACAGAGGAATAACACCTGAGTCCTCAGGAATAGCAACGCATGGGGGTATCATAGGCGAAACAGTATACTCTGTTATGTACATAGTACTGCTCATGTCTATAGGCGACGGTTACCATTTTCGATTAGGTAGGCCGTCAGCTTGTTTGCCATTCGAAGTTGCAAAAAAAACCTAATTATTATGTTAGTGAAAAACTATACTCTATACTTCATGTTAATACTCGTGGATATGACCCGTATTTTATTAAGAGAGCTATACTCGTCCAATATAATATGTACGTACATATATACAGATTACATTCTGTATGTCAGTAACATCGTTTGCATGTAAACGCAGCAACATTCCGATGCACCATGTGGGTTCCAGTCATCGTGTCATTTGATTTAGGTATTAGGCATTGACATTTAGCAAATTCTTGAAATATTTTGCACGATACACCTAACAGAGTTGTCAATATCTAATATAAGTAAGTACTTATGTTTTTTTTTTCATATATAATTGGCTCCCCTAAGGTTATATATCCGGCTATCCCCAGATATCAAATTCTAGGACGTATATCTATTTTCACTTATTCAACAATGTATTCTTTCATTCCTTTCCTCCCGTTTTCCTTCATTTCATTCATTGGTGATCCATTTCTACACGGCAAGCCAGTGTGTTGTGGAGCTGGAGTCTCCCAACACTAAATCAGCATGTGAACGAAATGGTAACCACAGTTAGGCCGTGGAGATGTTTCACGCTACTGCCCATCCCTCGCCGTCCATTTGTCGCCTTTTACGACACCCACGGGAAAGGAAGGAGTGGCCTATTTTATGCCGGGACCACACGGTAATTTGCATGGGAACCGTGACTATAATTAACATTAAGTTATATTAATATGTATTATTAATATTATTATTAGTAATTGTTATTATAAACTTATGATATGTACTTCGTATGTCCACCAAATAGGCGACGTGCTGAAGAAGGGCCAAATTAAAAGTACCCGTAACCGGTGAGCGTGTATGAAAAGATTGATGAATGTGGAAGAAGCGAAAGAGGTTTGTTTGAATCGAAGCATTTGATGTTCCATTGTTTCTGCCTACCCTAATGGGAGACAGGCGTGACAGATATGTATGTATGTATGTATGTTATTATAAAAATAAATAAGTATTTTATAAAACCTATTTGAATTAAATTTGGCCCATATATTGGTATTTGTTAAAGTTTGGAATTTGATATTTTTTACATCCGCCATCGAAGTAATCTAAAACAGAAGTAACGTAAAGAACAACTTGTTTACGCTGATTGCATAACAATTGAGGTACCATAGGCAAGAATGAAACCAAGTTGGTTTTTTTTTAATGGGTGATATTGGTATGGTAACTCCGTCTGCGCTATTGGTATACACTGGCGGGGCACCAGTGATAGATGACTGATGAGGATGAAAGCAGGTCAGTTAGCCCATCCTGACGAATTGAACTAGAATTAGCCACGATGGTTTCCTGGGGGAACCACGTGGAGGTCGACCTGACAGGGTATATTGCTAGTAATAGGGCTATTTGACCCCATTACTAACAATCCCTTTCCCCCCAACCAAGTTGGTTGACCCGTCATGACAAATTCGTTAGAAATTTAAATTGTAATAGAAAAAATGAGGACCTTAGCTGTGCTTCTGGTGTTTCATCAATAAAGAATTCGTCAAAAATTAAACATCTTGTTTTCCAAAGGAGACCGCGTGGAGGTCGACCTAACAGAATATAATAATTAAGACCTAATAGAATAGCTATTAGAAATTGATATTAGTAAGAAAGTAATTAGACAAGTTGATTAAATAATAAGAAATAGGGTTGTAACAAGATGTAATGACATAGAAGCAAGCATAATGGAATAAATGAATTATGTATTTAATAACTTTACTAACATTGCAACTGTAGGCTCTTCACACCCTTCTCATAAATAATTTATAAGCTCATTTCAATATTTGTTATTAACAACATTCCAATAATGGAGAGGATTATTGGATTTTTTCGTATTTGAGATCGAGTATTTTTTTAATGGATGATAATGAAATGGCATACCTGTCTGCACTAACAATATATACTGGCGGGGAACCAGTGAGGAGTGATAGATGATAGAAAATGAAAAGGCAGGTCAGTTAGACCATCGTCATGAATAAACCTGGAATTCAGCACAATGGTTTCCAGGGGTATCACGTGGAAGTCAACCTGACAGAGTACATTGCTAGCAATGGAACTGGTAGTTCGCATTACTAAGATTCCCTTCAACCCCTTAGATCGTGTATTAGGTAGGAGTGGGTAATATAATATAATATATAGCAATATCTATTTATTTTGGTTACGATATGTATATACTGATCCAATAACGAATATGTCCAAAAAATTATATAGATAACAGACTTTTAAGATGTTTGAAAATAAATATTCGACCGATATGGGCCATATCGAAATGGATGATGACTTGTTTTCCGTCAACAATTTCCAGAGGAACCCAATATATGTATAGATATAGGATCAGTATCCATATTACCTTATTATATATTATATATATTATTATGTAACTTAGAATGGCGAACAAGCTGAAGGGCTGCCTGATGAAAAGTGGTAACCGTCACCTATAGACAATTACCATGTCCATAACAGAGTTTACTGTTTCGCCAATGATACCCCCCCCCCCATGCGTTGGTATTCCTGAGAACTAAGGTGTTATTCCTCTGTACCCTATAAATTCACTGCTATATCCCACACCATTCAAACCGAAACACATCCATGCATAAAAAATTTGATAACCTTTGATCTTAGATTATAATTAAATAAATAAATACAAAGTTAATACGTTTACTTAGTCTGTACCCTTAATTTATTTGTTAACTTGTAAGAAAAAGAAATCTTTGATCAAATGTTAAAAAGACCGCATGAAAATGTCAGTGTCAGACTCAGAATTGTCAGACAAACAGTCTCTCTGTGTCAAACTGACATCAAGTAGTATACAGCTGATTATTACTATGTAAAAAAAATCAATAAAAAAAATTGTGATAAAAACTTAAGTTTTTACCTAAAACTTGTTGTGTATTTTTATAGATATAAGATTCAAATTTAAAAATAGATGAACCAGGAGAAAGTGAAAGGATATCAAAGTCTTTATATAAAGATAAGACCTTGTAATCAATCAACATTAAACTTTACTCACATTAAAAGATTTGATAACTGTAAAAAGTAAATGTAAATGAGATTCGAACATTACATTTAATTTCAATAGTTACTCAAACCTCGACATAACATAGTCACAAGTAGAATGTTATAAGCGAGAAACGTGTAGTGATAGTATTGGTCTGACGAATTTAATTTGTAATTCATTCATTACTTCATCGTTAGTGAAGTTTCACGTGTTTCAAAAATGGATAAAGTGAAGTTGCTATGGTCTAAAACAAATCGATGGCACCGAAGTGAGTGTATTTTAAAAATATAATTTCATACTCTAATAATTTCCTTTGTTTAGTGTTTTGTTAAAAAAAAAATTATAAATAATATACTTAAAGAGGTTAATATGTTTTCTTGAGAAATATAGAGTTTCTTTTAACTCTAAACAAAAATAGACAATTGGTTATTAACAGATATTAATATATTACTATTTAATATAATCTATTTTTTTTTATTATTATTATTATTTAAGTATTAGTATTTAATTTTTTTTTATTAATTAGGTCTCAGTAAACAATTGAGGTACTGTTTTTACTAAAAATGTTGTTTAATAAAGTAAATAAATCAATAAATAATTTTTTAAATGAAAATAATAATTAATATGTCTAATTGACAAATACTTTAACAAATAATACAAAAAATTAATTAATTAAGAAAATTACAATCAAGGAGATAAAATAATTGAAATGTCAAAATTAATATACAAGATATTCCTTAGTACTATAAAAGAGTTTGTCCAAAAGCCATTTAGTTAGCTATTTTTTAAATTTAATGAGAGGAAATACTTGAATGTCAGAAGGTAACTTGTTAAAAAATTTTTGTCTCAATGCAATGTTTTATTGATAAAGCATCAATGAACTTTTTGGTACAAGTAATTAATTTTTTTTCTGTGTCCTGACTTGTTCTTTTATGTCCCCACATGGTGTGAATATCTTAGAATATTACTTTACAAATACAATGCTACTAATGTACATTTATATATATATATATATATATATATATATATATACTAGCTGACTCCGTAAACGTTGTTTTACCACTTATTGCGAAATATAAAAATCACAATTAAAATACAGGGCTTGATCGTAAAACAATGAAAATTTAAAGGTGTATGTATTTTTCAATGCTAAATTATAATAAAATAAAAATAAAAAAATTTGTCAAAAATTAAAAAAAAAATTTTTAGGGGTTGGTCACCCTTATCATTGAGGGGTATAAAAAATAGATGTTGGCTGACTCTCAGACCTACCCAATATGCACACAAAATTTCATGAAAATCGATAAAGCCGTTTCGAAGGAGTTTGGTAACAAATACCGTGACACGAGAATTTTATATATTAGATATATATATATATATGAGGAATATATGAGAGATGTCCATAAGAGATTATTTTTTTATATATATAATATTCTATAATAACTAGCTCGCATTTTTATTTATTAAAATAATTCATATTTGTCATCAGTGTTTCTACTGTTTGTGGTGACCGAGTTCCAATTGGTACCAGGCGGCAAGGTTGGCTTCCTGTGCAACGACCCAGCCTTGTCACACCAATTTACTGGCGACACAATATCTTGGAAGTGGTTATTGACAACAGTCATCTTTCTTCCTTTAGCTATTGTAAGTTTTATTTAAGATTTTTTTGCCCTAACTTTTTTTATGCATCTTTGAATAACAACCAAACTGATAGCCCACCTGATCGAAAATGGTAACTGTTGTCTATAGATATGAGTGGTACCATGCACATAACAGTGTATACTGTTTTGCCCATGATACCCCCCATGCATTGCCATTCCTGAGGACTAAGAGAGTGTACTGTGTCGCCTCTGATACCTCTCATGTGTTACCATTCTAGAAAACTAACTACTTCTTGACTATATATGACATACCAAGATAAAAATTTGCCTATTAAGCAACTTTCTTCTCCATCTCAAATACTATGTATACTAAATTTCATGGCAATTGAAAACAAACTTTTTAGCCAACTTCTAAAAGGAGGTTCTCAATTTAGTTGTATTTTTTTTTTATGTTTGTCACCCCATAACTCAGTCAAGTCTAATCCGATTTGGAAAATTCTTTTAGCGTCTGAAAGGATTTACTTATATTATACTTACTTATAGATTGATCGTATAGAAATTTTATCAAAATTATTTCAGTACTTTTAATTTTTAGAACAAAATAACTGGATAGGTTTTTTTTTTTTATTTTTCAAGAATAAATCGATTTATCTGTTCAAATAATAGTTGTACCGTAGGTATGTAGCTTAAGAGGAACGCAAAAAAAAAACAAGGTCGTTCTATGTATTAATATAATTTGGCAGCGTCATCATGACAACAATGGTGAACAAAGTGCGATAACTTTATACCTAACTAGTGACACGGCCCGGCTTCGCGCGGGTAGATAGAATCCTGATTAATATCCAATTGAAATTGAAATCATTTATTTGCTAGAATAAGGTACATTTTTATTAGTGTTACATTACAAGAAAAATAGTCCAATCTTATTCTGCCACAGTGTAGGCGTGCAAATATAAAAACTTATTAAACAAAACATTAAAATAATTTCATCATAATAATATAATAATATCCTTAGATTATATAGATAGAGCATGAAGCCTAAAAAAACGGGTCAACTTTTTGTCAACTAATTGTCAGATTACTTTCATCCATTAAAATTTTATCAAAATCGGTTCAGTAATTTATCTCTAAAATCATAATATCTGTTTTGTGGTACACAATTTTAATTATTTCAAGTCGATTGAAAAATGTTAGTTTTGGTTTGGTACGTTACAGTTGTTAGTAATAGAAAGAACATACAATTCGGACAAGCAAAGTGATAGAGCGAAGCAGCAGGCGTTGTGCTGGTACAAGGAGTACCTGTTTGGTGTGCTGATCAACTTGACTGTGATACACATACTGAAGCAGGCCATCGGCTCCCCGAGGCCGCACTTCTTCGACACCTGCAGCCCTAAGGAAGCGCAGACTTGTGAAAGGTACGTAACATATAGGTGATCTCTTTAATATCTTACCAATATAATAAAATTGGAGGGTAGGGATTGTTAGTAATTGAATCTAACATGGTCATTGCTAGCAATATTACCCTATCAGGTCCGCCTCCACGCGATTCTCTCTTTAAACTATCGTGTTTAATTCTTAAAGTTACGATGTGCTAACTGGGCCTCTAGGGGGGAAAGGGATTGTTAGTAATGGGGTTAAATAGCCCGTTTACTAGCAATATACCTTGTCAAGTGGACCTCCACGTGGTTCCCCCTGGAAACCATCATGGCTAATTCTGGTTGAATTTGTCAGGATGGGCTAACTGACCTATTTCATCTTCACCTACCATCCTTCACTGGTGCCCCGCCAGTGTATACCAATAGCGCGGGTGGGGTTACTATTTCATTATCACCCATAAAAAAAAACTGGGGCTCTAGACAAATAGCAAACGAATTCGTCGATGGAATCGACATCGCTACCGAGTCCGTGAGTTGAAATGAGTCATCCGATGTTGCTATCTCATTCTATCTCACAGATTCGCTAGCGATGTCGATTCCATCGACGAATTCGTTTGCCATTTGTCTAGAGGCCCTGAACTGCTTTCGTCTCCACCCGTCATCTCTTGCTGGTGCCACGCCGGCGTATGCTGATAGATGATGACACGCGGGGTTAACATTACATCGTCATTTATTAAAAAAATATATAATAAAATTGAAACTTGACGATGTCGGGGGGTCTGCCAAGCGTGACAACTACTGTGCAGAATCCCCCAAGGGCAGACTTATGTTCAGGTGGACGAGGAACACCGGGGGGTTTTAGCCGGTAAGAGTCCGGCAGTACCCACATATCTCCCCCGAGGTATGTGAGGCTGCATAAAGCATTTCCCCTCGACAAAAAAAGGCTTACGTTAAGCAGTGGGCAGTTAAAGGCTGATATGATGATGATGATGATTAGTGATGTACCCACAAACATCACAATTATATTAGTAATGAATTTTGTTCATCGCATGTAATGATTTAATTTTAGGGGCCAGTATGTATATAGCTACACATGCACGAAGGCAGCCTGGTTGAGCCAGTCGGACAGGAGTTTCCCATCGGGGCACACATCGCTGGCGCTGCACGCCGCTGTGTTTATTGCGGTAGGTTTATAATATCATCATCATCATCATCATCATCATCATAACAGCTTTCAATTGTCCACTGCAGAATATAATCCTCCCCTTTGGGTGGTTGTGCCTGTAGTTGCTTCACTTGGCAAACGGATTAGCAATCGCATATAGGCTTTGGAGATGTTTTACTGCTGCCCATCGCTCCCATAACCACCCACGGAAAAGAAAGGGGTAGCCTATTCTATGACAGGACCACACGGCCAAGGTTTATAGTATAGAGCAGTAGAATCCTAAAAAATTACTAAACCAAAATGCATGTAATTAAGTTTACTTGAACCATTGTGTGTTGCTAATGATGACCTATAGAACCGACACATACTTCTACACGGTTGCCCGTATGCAACAATTTTAAGTTCCTCGGCGAGCTATGGAGAGAGCTATGCTCGAAGTTTTTTTTGCGTGATAAAATCCGAAATGAGGATATTCGCAGAAGAACACCGATGGGAAGAAATAGTACATTACTGCAGTGGCCAGCAACTGAGACATTAATGGACGAACGTCCAAATGTGGGCCGAGGCGTAGCCGAGGCACACATACGTGAGTCTATCAATGCCTAGTTGTGGCCAAGGCTTGTATAGCAGTATTTTCTCAAATAATGCGCGGAAATCAAAAACACAATTTTACTTTTTAAGTTCAATGACGAATAACGAACAATAATAATTTTTCACGCGCCATAATGTTCCTTTGTTTTTTTTTTTCAATAAGCAGCTTTTTATTTGTAAGCCAGTTCGAAATTTAATAAAACCTTTTATTAGTTACCTTCTTGGTAGCCATGTTACGAAGTAAAAGGTCATTCCATTTTTAAATTACAGGACAGATATGAGTTTACATAGTAATTTATCTGGCCGCAAAACACGACAGATATGGATTTTCATACAACTTTTGCAGGCCGCTGTCCGCTTATATCTGACCAGTACGGCAATTTTGATTTATCTTGAAGAAGATTGTCAAAATAATGCTCACATTTCCAAGCATGTTTGAGAAAAGGATATTTAATAGTAACCCCCCACTAGCTGTAATAACAACCTCAAATGCATTGCTGGGTGGATACAAGTGGTTCAGTAACATTCCTTATGGTGGTAGTCTATGGGCGAGGCCCATGTTCACTAGAGGGCAAATAATGGCTGAGACGATGTCGACAAATAAAAAATATTGTTATTTTTTATCAAAAAATAATCAAAAAATTAAGACATTACAGTCGATTTTGTTTTACCATTCTGTCAATCTTATCTCTAAAATTTATATTTTAATTTATACACATACGAGTGTAAGATAACACAGCCAAATAATTATTCTAAGGACGACGGAAGGTTAAAACCCAGCTGCACATAAATCATAATAGGATTAGCTTACTTATATAACCTGTCGATGTAAATATACTTCTCCATTAATATTGCAAGAGGTCTATTAAACTTGACGGATTAATTATTTAATTTATTTAAATAACTTTATTGACCAAAACAGACAAAAAGCGAACTTTATGCTATATATTTGTTATATTAATTGTATTATGAATCATGTAGACTTTTTAACACCCCCCCCCCCCACCCCTCCTGAACTAAGCAACGGGATCCAATAATATATGGCTAGTAATATACTCTATCAGGTCGACCTCAACGCGGTCACCTTTAGAAACCATCGTTGTCAATTACTGATGAATTTGTCACGATGGGACAACTGATCTGCTTTCATCTTCGCCTATCATCACATTGGTACTCCATCATTGTATCTCGATAGTGTAGGTAGGGGTACCGTTCCATTATCATCATTAAAAATACAATCAAGTTAGTGCACGAGTAAACATTTTTATCTTGTAAAAAGATGGTTCCGATTTCATTTACACCCATAACATATACTACACCCATAGCAAGAAAGATCTAGAGATTTAATGGTTAAGTACATATATATATTTAAATTAACATACATTAAAAATCATGATTGATCATATGAGACATATTCCGTGTATTTACTTTGTTACATTCTGATAAAAAAAAAATCTGAAAAAAAAAAAACAATAATACTGATTGACAATTGACGCGCGCAAACTAATGTTGTCAGTTTAAGTGAGCAGAAGTACCTACATTTTTAGATATCGCTAAATATTAAATAGAACTTCTCGTAGTTGGGTTTTTATACTTTCCCAATGTCGATATTTTACTGTAACTTTTAGCTTCTCATTTTTTATTATCTCTGTGGTACAGCAGTTTGAAACACTGCCTCAACTTCCAATGGCCGCTAGTTCGATTCCCACAAAATACAAACGTTTCGATTCATGACTATATTTAGTTATAAGTGTTTTCTATATATTATACGTATTTATATATTTCTAATTTGAAGTGGGGCTGTACAAGTTTTGGAAAGAGTTGGGGTAGACCTTTACCCAGCAATGGGACATCACGAGTTAATAATAGAATATATTTCATACAAAATTTACCAAAAGGGACTGTACAAAAGTCGTTTGCTTGAGCACCTCTGTACCATTCGTGTTTCTATCGTGAAGCAGACAACTGCAAACAATTGCATGGCTGTGTTTCACTTTAAAGGGTGAGATATGGCCATGATTTTTCTGTATCCTACAGAGAAATAACACCTGAGTCCTCAGGAATGGCAACGCATGGGGGTATTATGGGCGAATCAATATATTCTGTTATCTCATCTCTATAGGCCATGATTACCACTTTCCATCGAATGGACCGTCAGCTTGTTTGTCATTCAAAGTCGCAGAAAAACAAAAAAAAAATACGTCTGTCTAGCATTCATTGTAGGTACAAGCTCTGCTTAGTTTAGTACTAGATGGCGGTGTGTTATATGATCAGAGTTAAATAATAAAAAACATGTTTTTTTTTTTTTTGTACGAGTATGTAATAGATTTAATAATATTAGTATACTTATGTTAACAATAGATTTTTTTTTTCATTGTTATTTTATGTTATTCTTGTCGTCCTTGAAAGTCATGACGTCGCTCAAAACCTTTTTCACTGTACCGCCACAGAGTTTCGCAGAGCGGTAACGAATTACGCAGAAATGCATTTTTAACATTTATTTTATATAATATAATTATATTTATTATTATTATTGTTTAAATATATATTGTATTTAACATCTCCCTTTTTATGGGGGTAAATGTTCAACCATGCGGGCCTTAGCCAAGCAATGGTTGACTTTAAATTATATATGAGGATGATGACAATGATGAGGAAAGAAATTTCCTGACTATGCGGCAGGTATTGAGGATGACTGCTTTCTGTAGCAAATCTATTGTATAGGTGGGAATTTGTAACATATCTAAATGCTTGTGAAGATTTTTGGGTACGATTCCTGTAGACGATAGTACTATGGGTTAGACGATAGTATTATTATTATTATTAATATTGTATCATTATAATGTTTGATGTTTTAGTTTTTGGTGAGTGCATTAGTAAAACTTATCAAAGATATGTATGTATGTATATATATATATATATATATATATATGTATGTATGTATGTATGTATGTGTATATATATTATCAAGTATGTAACAAAAAACAAATCTATTTTTGATATTTTGACATGCCAATAACAAAAACCCAATTTTTATTGTTAAGTTGCGTAAGTACAGATGATACTTTAATAGTTTAGTTTCAATAAAATACACGTAAATCAACTTATTTTCAACCGACTTTAATAAGGAAGTTTTGAATTCAGTTGTTTTTTTCTATAACCATAACTCCATCATTTGTAAACCAATGTGGAATTTTTTTTTTTTTTTTTTTACTAAAAGAATATATTTTCAGATTAAACACACAGAAATTTTATCTAGCTTTTGCAGTATAGTTTTTAAGCCAAAATAACTCATTTTACCACAATTGACGTCCGTCTTTTTTCTTTATTTAACACAATCTTGTTTATTATAATTTTTTTTTTATTTTATTTTATTTTATACAAAAATCCAAAGCTCTTAAAAAATAACTTACATGCCAAGTCTCTTATGAATACAGCCAATAACGGATTTTATTTATACAAACAAAAATTTTGATTCCATAGCGAGGCAGGCAAGTTAGAGTGGGTGTATGCAAGTGATATAAGCACATGTATGAAAGGAACCATATATAATAGTGAGTATTCATAAAGTTAAAATCCATGTTGCTAAAGTTCAGATATACCTTATTGTTTATTTTTCGAGGTAGGATATCTAACCCAGTATCAAGAAAATATGTAGTTGTAATTAAATTACCGTAAATAACGTACCGCGCTCTGTATGTAAATGTTACTCACATTTTAAATTTAGGAGTACCCGATTAGTTTTGAAGTCAATAGGTATTTTTTTTTATTTCTAATTAGATCTTAACTATATGTTCACAGTACTACCTACAGCAGCGCACGCGCCACGTGAAGGTGCCGTCCATACTGGCTGTGCAAATACTGTGTCTATTGGCCGCTCTATGCTGCAGTGTGTCCAGGATAACGGACCGCAGGCACCACTGGTGGGATGTACTGGCGGGCGCTGTTCTCTCACTGCCTATATTATTTTATACTGTGAGTATTGGTAATCTTGTATTTCTTACGTTATAAAATACAGTAAGGGCACCAATAGTGGTCCCCATTGTAGACTGTTGTGTATAGTGGAAACAAGGAGAATACCGTCTGGTTCCAGCATAGAATGGGACATCCCTTCCTTTCCTTACTACTTACTGGTCGACTGGTACTTAATGGTCGAGGTATAGGCAGCAGGGTCTCTTTTAAACATCGTCAGAAACCTAACTACAGTTTCCAACCTGTCTGCCTAGCGTGGCAACTACTAGCAAATTCTCCCTTATGGTGGAGACCTATATTCAGTAGTGGAAAGTTAGCGGCTGATATAGTATAGTATGATATTCAAAATATGTATTTAGATTCTAAGACCCAGATATAGTTTATTGGTCCAAAATTAAAGGCATCCATTTTTCTAGTCTGTGGTTGAGTAACAAACATCTGAACCCCTATTCAATCCTAAGAACAAGGAATGATAAAATAAAAACTATAAATCATATGGTTGCCTCCTTTCTTCTTATGCAAATATAATTAGTAAAAAGAGGATGAAAGATACACCATCAGTTGCTATTTTTCTCAATTCATAGCAGGCTAATATATAGAAAATGTTTATGTAAAATTTTTGTTTCATTTATATTACTAGATTATATATTCGACACAGTTTATGTAGAAAGTATGCAAGCAGGTTGTATCTGAATTTGGTAGGGTTATTATACGACCGTATAACATTTTCTACTATTTTACACTAGCCTGCTATGAATTGAGAAAAGTGGCAACTGATGGTGTATCTTTCATTCTCCTTTTACTAGTTATATTTTTATAAGAAGAAAGGAGGCAACCATATGATTTACAATTTTTATTTTATCATTCCTTCTATGTAGTTCCTTGTTTTTAGATACAAACTCACATATATAATATTGTCCATGATCCCAGGCCGACAAGCGGTATTGAACCCTTAAGTCTTAGGAGAGATTTTGCCTCACTCTATGTGTTCTACTGCTTGTACAATGGACTGTGCTCAGAGGAATTGTTCAGCTCGCCATCGACAGGGAGTTCATCTCCATACCTTATAGCCTAGGATTTTTTAAGAGACTACGTCATAGGGTTCTTAAAAAAAGGCTAAAGAGCTTTTTTCAGAGTCGGCAATGCGCGCGAGATGCCCCTAGTATTACAGGCTACAGTAACTGCTTACCATCAGGTGGGCCGTATGCTTGTTTGCCACCTCAATGGTATAAAGTAAATTATGTAAAATGTCATTAATTATATTTAATTATTGTTTACGTTTCAGATATATTCCTTATGTGGCAACTTCCACTGCCCAAGAGTCACCTCTGAAGAAGTACCAAACATAGACAATACTAAGAATAATCTACATCATCCAGTCATAGACAATGCAACGTAACCAAAGACTTATATTTTAACATCCCCAATAGAAATGTATTAAAAAAGTAAAAATCTATTTTTATATTAAATAGTATTTTTTTAATCATAAAAATATTTGAGAATCATTAGGTTGACAGTGTGAAAATTCTAACAGTTTAATTTTTTAATACATTTTTATTATTTTTACTTATTTATTGATAGCAAAATTATTAATTTATAAGTAATTTATAATTTAAAACAATGATGACACGTAGTGTACATATATTTTACAGAACAATTTTAATTTGTTGATAATCATACTAATTTAGACCTTAGTGTTATGAACTTAAGGGAGTTATTCTATTATTTATTTTCACTGAGATCTATTGAGATATAAGTCGTAAACTGTATTGTTGCTACAGCTAAGTAATTCTGTATACATTCTCATAAGGTCTCTTACCAGGCTGTTAGGATGATTTGTTATCCTCTCCTTGTAGGATCCCATGTGCTGTTGTATGTCCTGTCTAATAGTTCCAATTTTTAGGTCATGAGGCAGTTGCTTGTTTGTGACAATCCAAGGAGCATTGGTTATTATTCTCAATATTTTATTTTGGAATCTATGCAAAATCTGAAAATTAGAGTCGGACTCTTTTCCTCAGAGATGGACTCCATAGATCCAGATAGGTTTTACTATCGTCTTGTACAGAATGAGATTATTGCTCAGTGACTATTGTTACTGGTGATCTGATAATCAATAAAGCATTCGCATTTGTAAACCCAATTGTTTGCGTTTGGTCATTATATGTTTTTGTCAGGTAAGTCATCTAACCATGGTACATACCTAGATATCTTACATAGTCTGGTTGAGGGATTTCTAAATTGTTAAGTTTTACTCCAGTAAAGCTCTCCCTCCAAGTTGCCCTCCATGTCAAATGCATTTTTTAGTGTGAAAGTAACATCGACTGATTTAGAATCATTAACTCTGATTCTCTACTTTTTTAGCCAGGATGAAATGTGATTTTTACTAGAGGGAGATTTTGTACAAAAGTCATTTGCTTCGGTACCTCTGTCCCATTCATGATTCCACCGTGAAGCAGTTGTGTTTTTATAGCTGTATTTCGGTTTGAAGTGAATTTACAGAGTACAGAGGTATAACACCTGAGTCCTCAGGAATGGCAACGCATGGGGGTATCATGGGCGAAACAATATACTCTGCATACATATCCATAGTACTACTCATGTTTATAGGCGATGCTTACCACTTCCCATCAGGTGGGCCGTCAGCTTGTTTGCTATTCTAAGTTGCATAAAAAAAGTGATCGTAACCAGTGAAACGAAAAAAGTGACAGTCTTTTTGATTAATGATTGAAGTTCAGTCTTCAGATAAAAGATTGAAATATTATTTCAGCCGATAACTGTCCACTGTTGAACATAAGCATAAAGGGAGTTTTGCTAGTAGTTGCTACGCTTGGCAGGCGGGTTGGCAACCGCAGTTAGGCTTACAGATGTTTTAAGAGGGACACTGCTGCCCGTCCCTCCACCATAAGCCGCCACCACCATAATAATTTAGCTCATGATAAACTAACTAACTAGCCCTTATATCTCAATAGGTCTTTTATATTATTCCAGTAAGTATAAATGCTTTAACATTCAAAGAAATTATAAGTGACATTCTAGATACTTAGGTATATTTTTTATTTTTATTTTCTTCTTAATGTAAACGCTTTTCTATACAATATTTATTATTTTAAATCTATTTATTTGAATAGCCCAAACAGATCCCAAGTAAAGCGTATAGTTATGTTTCTTTCTAACTTTCAAGGACATAACACAAAGTACAGAATTATATTATCTGTGACGCAGTGTAAAAAGTATCTAATAATCTAACGCCTGTACTATATCTCGGGCCATTACAGAACAATTCAGGACTCGTATGTTCTATGTAGACGTCTCTGTTAGACACTGGCAGAAAAGAGTTGTTTTGTTTGTGGCTATAATATATACAGATTGTTATTTTGAGCCTAAATACCAAACAAAATATTATCAAGCAACGAAATTATAACAATATTTCGCTCATTTATTCTGAGCTTGGGAATGTCTACATATAATAATCCAAGGGAATTCCAAGTCTCATATTCATTTACTAATTATTAATTCAACGGTGAGACGTAGTCACCTCAAGTTTTACGTGCAATGGCAGTAGTTGATATTGCCTCCGACTACCCCATTACAGATTATTGTCGTGAGTGTAATATATTTAGAGAGAATCAGGTATTCTAACACAAACAACCTCTGTGTACTTACATTTAGCTGTTGTATTCCACTTTATTGTTGTTTACTTTGTTTGTGACTAGATGGCGCTCTGTGATAGTGATATTAAATAACCTCTTATAAAAACCACGTCAGTTGTCTCGGTTACGAATACAACATTTAATGTTAACTTTGTGTATTAATTAGCTATTGGATTTAAATATTCACATTTTACAATGGGTTAGAAATTCCAATTTTAGCATTCGATTAATCGACTAAACTAGGGTAGATATTAAGTTACCATTTCTCTAAATCTCTCTGAAATAAAATTTTATTTATCTCGGCAAAAGCTATTTCCAAGCTTTATTCTAAGAACCAATATAAACAAAATTTCTAACAGATTTTCATATATTTAGTTTATGATGATCAATAAGCCGAAAATTTATAAATTAGTTTAGAGAAATTGAACCTTAGAATCGACCTCATTGTTTGTTATTTTCATACGATCCCAAAAGCTAATAAGTTGTTTTTACATGGTATATTGCTTAAAAAAGATTAGCAAGTAAACGTAGGTGCTGCCTCTGCAGAGCAATTTAGGAACTTAAATTTAGTACTAAGTTTTCCCATGTTGTTTAGTGAATTTAACCCATAATAAAGCGACTAAAAAATAATTGCAAAAAAAATATTACATAGCAATGTAACAAAACAGTTGACAGTTTTCAACAAGAGATTTTTCCGTATATTTTTTTTATAAGTAGATTTAATTATATATTTTTTTTATTTAAATATACATTGTAATTGGCGCTTATATATCCGCTAGTCATCTGTAAATGTGTGTAACACAAATTTGATATTAAACCGGTTTTTCCGGAGTGGCTTTATTTCAAATAAATATTATGATTGCATACATATTTTATTATTAATTGGTCAATTATAATTATTATCCCAATTCCGATCCCATCAGCAATTAACTGTCCACTGTTGAACATAGGCCTCGCCCTATGGGATTATTTTTTGCAACTTAGAATAGCAGGGGGAAAGGGATTGTTAACAATGGAGTTTGACATTCCCATTGCTAGCAATACGCCCTATTAGGTCGACCTCCACGTGGTTCCCCCTGGAAACCATCGTGAACAATTCTTGTTGAATTCGTCACGATGGGCTAACTGACCTACTTCATCCTCACTTATCATCCTTCACTGGTGCCCCGCCGGTGTATACCGATAGCATGGGTGGGGTACCATTCCATTATCACACATTAAAAAAAAAACTTAGAATGGCAAACAAGCTGACGGCCCACCTGATGGAAAGTAGTAGTACCGAGGCCTATAGACATGAGCAGTACCATGGACATAACAGAGTATACTGTTTTACTAGAAGTGTCACGCTTGGCAAACGACTTAGCAACCACAGTTTGGTTTTGTGACATTTTAAGAGGAATGGAACGCACTGCGAACTTGCAGTTCGCAAAGCCCGTAAAGAAGTAAGGTGTTACCATTCCATTGTCATTTTTTAATTGGTGATAATGGAATGGTTACCCCACCCTCGCTAATGGTATACACAAACGGGGCACCAGTGAGGGGTAAAAGGTGAGAATGAAAAAGCAGGTCAGTTAGACCTGCTTTTTGATTGCTTAGTGATGAATACACCAGGAATTCAACACGATGTTTTCCAGAGGAGACCACGTGGAGGTCGACCTTATGGGGCATATTGCTAGCAATGGGACTGATAGCATTGCTAACAATCCCTTCCCCCCCACCCCTAAAAAAACAGTATTTATCAAGAAATCTATGATTATGTTATAAAAGTTAAATAAATACAACTACATAAGCCAATCGTAAAACTATTTTGAGACCTATTAAACTGTTGTTATATTATACTTAATGCCAGACAACGGTTTACCTATGATTAAACTTATTTCATAGTTTACAAAACAACTAACAACTTAAGGTTAGGTATTAATTTTATCATTAAGTACACGCAACTTTAAAACTTTATAGATTATAAACTTTTACCGGCGATTTTGTTCACTGACTAGGATAAAATTAGCTCAAGTCATTCTCAACCTCATCATCATCATCATCATCATATGAGCCATTAACCCTTCTTTGCATACTGGTGGAAATTTCCATCATAACATTGAATGCCCAAATATTATATAAAAGAACAATTTCACTTTAAGTTGATCGTGTCTGGATACCTTTTTAATTTTCATTGCAGAAAAAAAAAACCATAGCTGACAAATTTATTTTTTTAACCATTTTTTCTTGAATTTTAAACATATATTATATATATCACCTTGATTTATTTCAACAATAAAAAAAATTATGCAAAAAAGAGTTAACTGTCCACTGGTGAACATAGGGTTTTCCTTGAGAGGTTTTGCAAATAGTTGCCACGCTTGGCAAGTGGGTTGGCAACCGCAGTTAGGCTTTGGTGAAGTTTTAAAAGGAATACTGCTGGCAATCTCTCAACCATTAAGTTATCTCCTTATATGTGTCTCTCATAGGGCGTCGCGTTCATAATTCAAAGTCGTCAATAATTCATAGACTACAGAAAGATATTATCTCCTCGCGGTTCTCCCTGGAAACTATCATGGTGAATTCCTGATGAATTCATCATGATGGGCTAACTGGCCTGTTTTCATTCCCATCGATCACCCTTCACTGGTGCTCCGCCAGCGTATCCCGTTAGCGCAGGCGGGGTTACCATTCCATTTTCACCCATCAAAAAAAAAGATATTATCATAGAAATATGTCATATTATAGATCTAGCAATTTAGAAAATTCTGAACATTAAGTAACGATAGACATGAAAACAAAAATAAATCAAAGTCTTACAAAAATCTTAAAACATACCTACAATTTATTTATTTATTTATTCATTAGTACAAATATGTGTACATGGCGGACTTAATGCTAAAGGCATTCTCTCCCAGTCAACCATAGGGAAGTGTCAGAATACTCGAATGCGGTACTACTAATTATTGATATACATACATACTAAAATTACATATATAAACGAATAAATATATATAAATAACAAATATACTTACACATATATGACATATACTATATTATACACGAAATTGAGAATAATATAAAGTACTTACTGCTCGGATAAAAATAAAAAGTGTGCGTTAACGCTTTTTATTTTTAACAATTAAACTAAATCTGTAAAACTAGCACAGTGTTAATAAATAATAATAATGTAGATAGAATAAGTATATTATTTACGTTATCTAAGTATCTAAGTAGATAGTACATGGATAAATATTAATATAATAATATTACATTTTTGAATTAGTGTTGCAAGACGTAAAGCGTTCGGTATCATTGTATATTTTTTTTATTGGATGATAATGGAATGGTAACCCTCCTGCCTAACGGGATACACTGGCGGAGCACCAGTGAAGAGTGATCGATGAGGATGAAAACAGGCCAATTAGCCCATTATGATGGATTCATCAGGAATTAATCATGATAGTTTCCAGAGGGAACCGCGAAGAGGTCGACCTGGTTGGGTATATTGCTAGCAATGGGATTCTTAGTCTCCATTACTAACAATCCCTTTCCCTCCGGTATTATTAGGCGTTAACAATATAGGCCTCCTCCATAAAGGAGGATTTTGCCAGTAGTTGGTACACTTGACAGACAGGTTGACAACCGCAGTCTTTGATGTTTTTTTTATAATATATAATAATGGAAAGGTAACCCCGCTTATATAAAATAAAAAATATATACTAACGGTATATGATTACGGGGTACCAGCGAGGGATCATACGTAAGGATGAAAAATGCAGGTCAGTTAGCCCGTCGTGATAATTCCACTTGAAATTCATCACGCTGGTTTCCAGGGGGATCACGTGGAGGTCAACTTGATATGGTATATTGCTAGCAATAGGACCGGTAGTCCGCATTACAAACAATCCTTTCCCCCCTTTGGTGGTATTTTTAGAGTAACGGTGCTGCCCATCCCTTGACCATAAGCTCCCTTAATTGCCTCTTATGACCCACGAAAAAGGGTGGCCCATTCTATGCAGGGACCACACGACAAATGCACTTAAAGTATTAATCGGGGCCAATTTAAATTTATGTTTCAATTTTTACTAATTTTTTTGTTTCCTAATGACACCAGACGTCGCCATCTCATTCTATCTTATAGAGTCACTAACAACAAGATTTGTAAAAAAATTCCCCTACTGCTTGCTACTACAACTAGGTACTAAACTAGACTGCTTACCGCAACTAGGTATTAACTAGGCGGATCTAGTTATATAATACTAGGAAAGCAGAAAAGTATTGGAGATAATAACTATTTCAAAACTTGAATTCAGCCCCCCTTTGCCTATTCACAAATGGCAAATAAATACTAAACAAGTGGCAAATGAATCATTTAATTAGAATCGTTTTTGTTGAAGAAAAGGACACCAGACATTGCCATCTCACTCTTTCTTTGCTGACCATCGAAATCGTATAATACTAGGAAAGCAGAAAAATACAAGAGGTTAGTTTTAGCATAGTTGCTTATGCTTGGTTATATCGTAATTAATTAACACTAAATGGTACAACTTAGTTGTGCATATTTACTAACTCATCAACAAATAAGTACCTACAATCGCTATTCAATAACACGTAAGCCTTACAAAATTACACTTAATAAGCGGTCTTCTACTAAATAATTACAGGTAATCGTAGTGGAACCAGTAATTAAATGCAATTTGGTTTAGGAACTTGAAAGTTTTATCATTAACGGTTTATATAGCACGTTGTTTACAATAAGTGACATAACACAATCCATTTTCAAACGTATATGGAAGGAGTCGACACGTGCCTCTGAATGCATAGATAATTTTCGTGAATTACACATAAAAAACAGCTTATTTATTTCTAGTTATAACTGCATATTAGATGCTTCTAAGGTTTTGTTGTAGACAGCAAGGTATAAAGTGTTTAGATGGAGATAAACTGGAAATAAAGTTGGAAATATTTAAATTAAAAATTTTTAAAACATATACGAGACTGAAGACCTTTGCAGACATTCTCCACTTTAATATAATACCTAATTAAACAGCATAATTCTGTGTCATATTTATTATCAAAATGAATATAATAAGGGTATTTATTTTGGTAACACTTGTAAAACTTATTTGCGCTAAAGACGACCATACAATTAATTTCATTAGAGATTTCATTGAAAATGAACGAAAACCTACACATTTAATATTGAACGATCTCTGTTGGCCTAAACGTAAGTATTTTTTATAAAATTTTATAATTTAATCACTATTTTAATATATTATTATAAATTATTCAATCACTAAAATACAAAATAATAAAAAAAACACAAAAACAGACATAATTTTCAGATTATAAAATAAATTTTGTTTTTTGATAAACGATAAACAATTTATCAAAAAATTAATTTAAAAAAATGCTCACGACCATAATCTCTAATTTATTTAAGCGAGTTATGTCAATCATTGCCAAATATGCATGAATTAGTTGCACAGATAAGAGGAGAAACTCTTAAAAAAAAATTCTTTCCCTTCAATTTATTCCTTTTCAACAAGTGTGAAGAACTTCGGTGAACCCTTTCAACTGTGCTTTTAACTTCGAATTCCCACTGAAGTCAATTTCCCATTGTCCCTGAAATATAGAAAGAAGCACTTTATGAAATAAATTCTGCAAATATCAACTTTTCTGAAAACTCATAGCTTACCGGAATTAAAAAGAAATTGTATTTACTGAAAATCACTCATTTGCTTCCATTTGCCCTCTAACCGGTTGTCTTGGGGGAAAGGGATTGTTAGTAATGGAGACTGGGAATTCCATTGCTAGCAATATACCCAACCAGGTCGACCTCCTCGTGGTTCTCCCTGGAAACTATCATGGTTAATTCCTGATGAATTCATCATGATGGGCTAACTGGCCTGTTTTCATTCTCATCTATCACCCTTCACTGGTGCTCCGCCAGCGTATCCCGTTAGCGCAGGCGGGGTTACTATACCATTTTCACCCATAAAAAAAACCGGTTGTCTTTTACGTTTACCCTACTTATGTTTACTAAAATCAAAACATACCTACTAATTTATGTATCTTACGTAAATAAGTCAACGGTTAATATAAGAGTCATGTCTTTCTTACGGATAAATTACAGATATT